GGGGGGGGCACGTCTCAAGCAAAGAGCAGGTGACAAGGTCACTTTGAGTACATTAGCCCATGACATCCAATCAGAATTGAATCTGAAGTTAGACTCGGATGAGATAACTTTTAATTGGCTGCAATTCTTTTGGCTGGCTTTATGCGTGTTTCTTTGTCAGGCATAACAGATAACAGAATGCAGTATCTGATAACCACATGCTACTTTCAAACTAATGTTAAATATCATTGCGTGCCTGTCTGGAAAAGGTAGAAGAGATAGAGCCCATGACATCCAATCAGAATTGAATCTGAAGTTAGACTCGGATGAGATAACTTTTAATTGGCTGCAATTCTTTTGGCTGGCTTTATGCGTGTTTCTTTGTCAGGCATAACAGATAACAGAATGCAGTATCTGATAACCACATGCTACTTTCAAACTAATGTTAAATATCATTGCGTGCCTGTCTGGAAAAGGTAGAAGAGATAGAAACATGTTGTTAGAGAAAACAAGCTAGTATATGTAATAGACTTCATAAAAACTGCCTAATCTCTGTGCTTACAGATATAACAGTAACCTACCTTTAGGAGGCCGAGCACAGAACCTTGTGTACGCAGCTATCACATTAGCCAGTAAGGTGTTCCTGTTTAGGCTTGTTACTTGAGTTTGAATCTGAAATACATCATCAATTTTACATTGTGACACCATGATGCATAACTGTATATATAAAAGACAAAATGCACTGGCAGCAGAGCATTTTGCATTGTAATTTGAAAATGTAAAGCGTATGTGAGGCCATATAGTTTTATGGCTTGTTTACACCATATACAGTGAGTTCTAGCACGGTTAGCTGCTATAGAGGCTTCTACCCATCCAGGAACTGGTTCATTAGTGATAGTAAATATTTTGCTATCAACCAGTTTCCGAATGAATGGGAAGCCTCTGTACTGAGTGCTTTCCATTCATTTAGAACAGAGCTGGCAGAAAAAGGGATTGGAGGACTCTGTGTCCTCGATTTCTATTTCAAAAAGGAAATGTCAGGGGTCTGACATAGACCCCTAATATTTCCCCAAAGCCCCCCAACAGTAAAAAGATCAAATAATAAAAAAAAAAATAAAAAAGATAAAACTACACACACACACACACGTGTGTGCGCGCAACAGTATGCACCATATTGTGGTGTATGCCACGCACATGTGCTGCGTGCGTTGTTAGAACACATTGCAGTGTGATTTATTTATTTAATAGTATTAAATGTACACCTGTATCATTTTATCACAACACCCCCTCCCCCTCCCCCAACACAGTGCACAAACGATTAACATGTCGCTTATTGACAGATTTGCGTTAAAACATATGAGGCTGAGTGAAAATCACTCAGCTCATAGTTCTCCTTTAAAGTTTGAAATTTGGCGAGCGGCCCCCATGGGAGAAAAAAAATGTTGTCGAGTGGCCCTCGAGGGAATTGAGTTTGCTACCCCTGATATAAGGTATATAGGGGGGGGGGTCTTTTACAAACGCTAGCAACGCAGCAATAGAAAATCAAAACAAACAATGGGAAAAATTGCAATAATGGTGTGGCCAGCTGAGGTTAAAAGCGTCGAGGGCTTGGCAGCAAAAGGGTTAAAAGATACTTTTTTTATATGGTTTTTCACTTTCTTCATGTAAAGAAAAATAATCCTATTTGCATTGCTCATACTGTATGTGTGCTGTTCACGCTGAATGACCTTATAAAACATCTTAGGATTTCAGCCTTGTAGCTCATGCAATCGAGTTACACAACACTTTATGTAAGTCACTTGTATGACGTCTATGTTCCCGTAGCTCAGGCACAAAACTCAATAGGAAATCACAGTTAGAACAGCAGCACTTGAAGAAGCAACATCCAGCTTCTTCTAAATGACTTCAAAGTATCGGGTCAATATGAACAGCCACAAAAAAAATCTTAAAGAGAACCTGTGCTTTTTCTATGAAGGGCTAACATAAAAGCCCCCCCTCCCCCATGTGGTGTGTCTTCACTCCCCCTCCACCCCATGTGTCGTGGAAGCGAAGAGAAGAAAGGATTTTTTAATAAAAGGGTTACAGATGCCGGAACATTAGTATATGGGCAACACAAGCCAGACAGGTTAACCTCTGCCTTGCTTTTTAACCATCATTTGTGGATTGTGTGTTGCATGTATAATGACGGTGTATATTCTAGTTACAATTATTATTAACCCTTGTAGTAGGGGCTACCCTCGCATGGAATGGGTTAAGGGCTTGTTGTGGTCTAGGAGGAAAATAAAAGTTATACTCACCCCGATCCTTGGAGCCAGGCGGCTGTGACACCACTCCCTCCAGTCTGTCTCGTCCTACACTGCAGGAATGGTATGCCCTCACCTATACCTATACATTGTGTATTGGACATAATGCTTTACGAGACCTTAGACCACTGCAATGGAAGGGGAGAGAGGCTGGAAGGAACCGTCAAACAGCCAGCCAGCCAGCTCCGAAGATAATGCGAGCACAACTTTATTATCTTCCTCCCTAGACCCTTGCTGCACTTAATCCATGCAGTGCGGGGGTAGTCCCACAGCAAGGGTTAATAATCATTTCCCCCGTAGTTCTTCTTTAGCAGTACATACAATGTAGTGATTTTTCCAGCTATGTTCTCGGTTTTGTATAGTTAATTTCTAGTGTGCTCACACCAAACACATTTCTTTTATTTTTAATGTGACTTAAATGCAGCCATTTGGCTTAACAGAACAGCGTAGTCAATCATCAAACTATAGCAATACATGAAAATGAAATGGCCCAGTTTCAAGCGGACCTTTACCCTTATCTTTAAATTAGGGTCACACCTAGGCGACACCTCACTGCACGTGTTCAGGAGTCGCCACGCTGTGAACCGATCGCACTGTGGGTGCCATTATTTTCTGGCGAATCGCGTGGTTTCCCGCCACGATTGCAAACACGTTCACGGCTAGAACAGCCGCACGTCGTGTATCGCAAAAAGAAGACACATACCTTTTTTTCTGGGATTGCCGTGCGGCTGTCACCCCTTTGAAATCAATGGGGCCGCGCGGCAAATCGCTGCCTGCACTGTACAGGACCGCGCGATCCTGGGATGCGCGTCCCGGGTGTCGTGCAGGTGTGAACCTAACTTTAAAATAACAACAAACACACCTTTGGAAATGTAGTGATGACAATCTACAAACACATATTTTTAGATAATTGCAGGCTTTGTATTCTTTGCAAACCTTATTTCTCTTCTCTTCCCCAGTTTAAAAGTCTGTCTACCCCAAATCCTTAATATTTCCCCCTTCAACATCTCAAGTTGAAAAATGCAAGTTGTCCTCCAATATTTCCTCATAATATGCCGCATGCATGCCATCAATTTTGACTAAATTCCCTGTGCTGCTGAAACTGACAGACCTCCAAAACATTAGAGACCCACCTCCATGCTTCACAATAGTATTGGCGGGCTTCTCCCCATAAGCCATGTTCACTCCTCTCCTAACACAGCATGCATGGTTGTAGCCATGAAGTTTAATTTTGGTCTCATCACTCAAAATGATTTTGTCCCACATGTTTTGAGGCTTCAGTAGGTGCGGTTTAACATGCTGTAAGCCATTTACTTGTGTTGTTCCGCAGAAATGTCTAACACTGTGGGCATTAAAGCAACCATGTTGGTCTGCCTTTCATCGCCAAAGCAAAGGTTCACTTTAACTAAAAAAGCTTTATATAATAAAACAATTACAGAAAATGAGACAATTAGCATACAAGGACCTTCAGACTGGAAGAACAGAATCTCTCTACCATGTGGGCGCATTGTTATGACAACACAGACAATAGGCCTTGGTTTGCTCAGAGCACATGATGGTTATTTGCAGGGAGGCTCCACCCACAAGTCCACAGCATGAAAACACAGGCACTGCTGGTTGCAGCAGAAGTATCCCTACAGGATCACAACAATACGTTCATATTTACTGATGTAAGGTCCAGGGAACATGTGATCCAATGACAACAATGAAATGACAGCCACCAGTTACAATTCTGTTAAGCAGTCAGTATACAAAGTATACAAGTACATCAAAACACATTGGTGTGCAGTAACCCAGTTATTACTTTACAGCAGTCAGACCAGTGGAAGGTGATTGCAGATTGGCTACTATGTTTTAGTGTTTCTTTTTTTCCTTTCCTAACCCCTTTCTGCTGCAATGCAATACAGTACATACTGAGTGGAATATTGCACATGAACATCCTCGGAGCTGAGAGAATGCAGGGAGCATTGTTTTCTCCATATTTACTGGCCCTATGCTAACACGTGAATGCAGCCAAAACTCCAAGGGTCATTCTCAGACAAACTATAGAAAAGGTAGAAATAAAAATAAATAGGGGTATTAAAGCCCAACACCAGGCACCAGAAAAACAAATATCCTTGTAGTTAGGACTCCCCACACCAGGTTTAGGGGAAGAGAAGTAAGCTGTAATACCTTTACCCTTGCTCCAGCAGCCTTCTTTCATGATGTGCAACTGGTACCTGCTCCCTATTCTCCATGATGCCCTGGCTGTTGGTTGTATGCCGACATTATCACATACGATGCAGGACTGTGCGGAGGAGAGTGCGCCCCCAACCCGGAGTGTGTAAAGGGGGAGCACGGACAGCAACGGTAGAGCGGAATAAGGTATTACCAACCTGTTCCTCTACTCCTAGGACTTATTGAGCCTCACCACAAGGGGATTTGTTTTCTGGTGCCCAGAGTTGGGCTTTATTACCCCCATCTTTCTTTGAGGGTGACCCCTGGAGACGATACTAAACTCATGGTTTACTGTATAGGCAGTAAATATAAAAGTTTACAATTTGGAGAAAGCAGTGCTACCTGAATTCTGTCACTCCGAGGGCATTCATGTTGCAACATTCCACTCAATGTTTATTTAATACAAGTCATACAATAGCATGTGAATGCAACATGTGAAGTCACATCGCTGAGGCCTTGTTCACTCCGAAAGTGTGTGCGTTCCAGAGCGGTAGCTGCTGAAACGCACCGCGAGCGCTAAGAAACTTCTCCCTGCGTTTTGGGGCATGGCGGTGCATTGAATTAAATGGCACCGCTTCCACATCCCCCCGCCCGCAGTGCGATCGAACGCGTGGCAAGACTCTGCCAGCACTTTGTTCCACTGCAAACGCAAAAAATGGGGCTTGCTCTATTTTTTGCGTTTGCAGTGGAACGCAATGCTGGCAAAGTTTTGCCACGCGTTCGATCGCACTGCGGGCGGGGGGCGTGGAAGCGGTACTATTGAATTCAATGCACTGCCAAGACACGCCCCAAGACACAGGGAGAAGTTTCTAAGCGATCGTGGCGCGTTCCAGCAGCTACTGCTCTGGAGTGAACAAGCCCTGAAAACTCAGGAGATAACATGAATGCAGAATTACACTCAGAAATGACAGGTCCCCAGAAGTCTGATATATTCTACCCTGACAACGGCCTGAACTCATGGTGATTATGTGGAGGGGCCCCACTGCAAGAGATTGATTTGTTAGTTTCACTTTAATGACTCTTAGACTATATTATATATATTAGAAAATTAGACTCTTTCATAAGCCCAACTTTGATGAAAAGAAAAACGTAGACAGAATATCCGGTAAACTGCTGGATTAAAGGCAGCCTGAAACCTGCTACAACTGATCACTGACAATCACATGAAGATCATCTTTAGCTCCTAGTCATGGACATTCAACAGTCTATTAAAGAAGAACTCTGGGCAAACTTTTATTAACCATTACAGAGGAGCTACCCCCTCACTGCAAGGGTTAAGTGCTTTTCATCTAGGTGCTACAATGAAAAAAGTTACACTGACCCGATCCTCCGACCCAGCTTGCTCTTAGATCGGTCCCTGCAGCCTCGCTCGGCCTCCGCTGCAGTGTACTGAGGATCCTGGTGTCATTACGCTCTATACACAGTGGGGGGAATTTATCAAAACTGGAGCAGATTTGCACTGCAGCCAATCAGCTTCTCTGTCTCATTTTCAAATCTTACCTGAGCAAACTGAAGAGAGATGCTGATTGGTTGCCATGGGCAATTGCTCCACATTCTGTCTGCTCCAGTTTTGATAAATTCCCTTCAGTGTGTATAGGATGGCTCTGTGATTCAGGTGAGTAGAACGTTTGTATTATAGCACCTAGATGAAAGCAAGCAGTTAACCCTTGCAGTATAGGGGTAGCACATCTACAATGGTTAATACAAGTTTTGCCTTCTATAAAAGCTGAAACACATCTTTGTGATTCAGTGCCTTGCGGAGAAGTGCACGTTGCTGCAACGCACATCACATACACAGCAAAACAATACCTTGCGTTACGGTGCACGGTGTCAGATACAATGCTGCATATCAGTTTCTTGGTTCTGTCCTGTGAATGGCTGACTTAACACAACGCATGTAACATATGACACAACACACGTAACATATGACAACACACAGGATCGGAGAAATGTGAATGGGCCCTAATGAGAATGGCTGTCATTAAATGACACCTGTGAGACTTCCACACAAATACAAATACATACAACTTTCTAGCAATATCAAGCGCCTGTGCAGCTCACGTACGTAGATCCATTGAGTTATTGTCACCATGGACCACTGATAGTAGTAGTTGGACTTGTTGGAATATCACCCTGCGTATGGCCATGACCAGGGCTATGTGTCAGTAGGAACAGGGACAGGAGACCAGCCATGTCAGTACTCACCCTCCTCAGACAGAAGGGCCCGGGTCGCCGAGACACTCGAGGGAGGAAGGCGCCGCTCAGTGGCCGGCAGAGCCCAGACAGCTGCAGGCAGCGGTGAGCCATGAACTCAGGACTCACAACACCAACATCACACTCCCTTCTATCACAGGCAATGCGACCTCCACAGGAGCTTACAGGAGCTCAACACTGACGTCACCGGCTCCGCCAATCACTGCTGGGCTTTCGTGTCGCTGCTTAGTGACGACAGGCAAAGGGCGGGGCCCGGTGTCACTGTACTGCAGAGTGTGTGTGTATATATATGACACTGGACCAGTCACCATGACTCTGCGGCTTCCTATATAATAACATGGCCACCCTAGAGGACTATATGAATAACAGGAAGGGGATGGGAGAATGTGATGGTGGGCTGGCATAAAGGGACGTTACTTCCTCATGTAGGGTGTCGGGATACTGATTAGGAGGCAACTTGCAGCTATAGAGCTGTGCAGTGTAATGACTTGTCCTGTGATCTGACCATACATCTAGCTCTGAATAGTGCCCGGTGTACTCAAATAAAGGTGCTGGGAGATCGCCAGTCAGTAGGGATTTCCTAGTACACTCGGTACATGTACATTTGTAATAATTACAGCAGGTGTGGGCAAAAACAGCACTCCAGCTGTTGTGAAACTACAACTCCCATCATTTTAATAGGAGTCAGCCTTGCAGTGCTTCATGGGACTTGTAGTTACACCACAGATGGAGTGCCAAGGTTGCCTATCTCTGATCCACAGTGACCCTGACAGTCTCAAAAAAAAAGTCCCTCTTCACAGATGTGTAATTTGTTGCAGGTCGGCCATCGCACAAGAGGAATCCCATTCGTTTTCCATAGTACTCCTTGTAAAAAAAAAAAAAAAAAAAGGCAGGTGCTACATAGTTTGCCTTTGGCCCCGTAGACTTCAACAGGAGCACATGGGAAATTTATGTACATGGGTTGTAGTGTGTGTTTTTACACATAGCAACCAGTCTCCTCCTCCTAGCAACATCTACCCTAGCCAGGCTGCATAAGAAGATGGAGTGAGCAGGCCGAAGCATGCTTGATGTGCAAGAGCTGCTAAGGGCAACAACATTGCAGTACCATCCCCGCCAACACAATTACAGGGATCACTGCAAGCACCAGGGGGTCTGGGAGGACAGTGCCAGCAAGGTGGATGCTCATTGGGACAGTGGTATTAAAAGAGCACCGGTGTCTGCGGCCAAAAAAAGGGGCATAGCAGACATGACTCAAGATTGCTCAACTACGCACAACTATGCAACACACAGAACAAGCAGGGAGCAGATACAAGGAAGACAATATCTAATGATATAGCAGATATTTATTGTCATTGGCCAAAACTTATGCTGTATGACAAACACATGAAAAACGTGTTCCAATGCATTAAATATTTGCATAAACGCACTTATAAACATGCTACAAAAATGCAAAAAAAGGCACATGAATATGCAGACACTTAGGCCTCATTCACACGAGAAAAGGCCGGCATGTACAGCTCCGTGCTGCGTGCACGGCCGTATCGGGCAGCTCCCAGGAAGGACAGGTGCTACGTGTAATTAGTACGCAGCCCCTGTCCTTCTCTATGGGAGTACGCCGCCCTACGCTCACCCCCCTGCACGTCCGTGCCGGTGTCCATACTCGTATGCTGACAGGACGGATCCTGTCTGCGTCCGAGCCGGGACACCCGCACCCGTACGGACCTGCACTTGGGGTGAGCGTAGGGCGGCATACTCCCATAGAGAAGGACGGGGGCTGCATACTAATCACACATAGCACCTGTCCTTCCCGGGAGCTGCAAAAAGGGTGTTGTCACCCTATGACAGGAAGAGCCAGAATAAGGATGTTCATAGATGGACCACCAGCTGCAAGTTTATAAATATTGAAATATAAGGAATGATATCATGGTTTATTGCAACTGATATTCATTCTGTGTTCAGATCAGTGTTCTCAGGAAAAAAAAAAAAATATATATGTATATACATATATTTTATTATTACATAAGCAAATGTACCATGACTCTTTCGGTAATTCAATGCACAGTGTAGGGTCGATCACGTGCTGGGTGACACTGCCTGTGACGTTGTACAGGGGAGGGAGGGAGACCATCATGTAACAGTCACTGTTGAATAGAAGAAGACACCCCTGGCATCCCACTAGCTGTGCATGTTCCTTTTCTTCCACTAGGGGGTGCTGTACCACCCGAGCATCAGATGTCTCATTGCTTTGTATGAGCAGAGCTGTCATGGTATCTTCAATTGTCGCCTCTCAAAAGCCAACACTACTATAGCTGTTTACAAACATTTACAAGACATCATTAGTTTCAAGATATAATTACTCGGAGGGCATATTAAAGCTGACCTTCAAGCAGATATAAAATATACAAATTAATGCAGCTCTGTGTTCATTAATTTATCATTAAATGCAATGTAGAATCTGGAGCAGTTGTCCGTGGCAACCAATCTCCTTCTCTCTTCTGTTTGTTTAGTTAAGCTTTGAAAATGAAAAATAGAAACTGATTGGTTATCATGGACAACTAGTTCAGATTCTGTCTGCTCCAGTTTTAATAAATTCCCCTCATAGGGGGAATTTATCAAAACTGGAGCCGTTGCCCATGGCAACCAGTCAGCTTCTCTTCCATTTTTTCAGTTAAGCTTTAAAAATGAAAGGCAGAAGCTGATGACGTCTGGAGGGAGAAGCTGATTCGCACTGATTAAGGGAGCAGGGAATATCGAAAGTCAGGAGTGGGCAAACTCCGGCCCTCCAGCTGTTGAGGAACTACAAATCCCATAAGGCTTTGCAAGATTCTCACAGCCCAGGCATGACTCCCAGAGATAGATTCAGCATGGGATTTGTATCAGTTGGAGAGTCAGTTTGCCCACCTCTCGGGGTAAGTATCACACCTTATTCCTCTACCCACAGACAAAAATTAGCATATAACCTTTGCAGTGCACGTTGCCCCACTGCAAGGGTTTGTTTTTTTTTAATTCCCAGAATTCAGCTTTAAACATGGGGTGGTTCATGATACTTCCCATATTTTGTGATAGCTAACGACATCTTCTATGGAATATAACATCCCTCTCCTTCAGATGCCTGCAAGCCACCCTTGCTTAGTGATAACCGGCATCTCTGTGACCTCCCCTGGGACCGAGCAACCAAGGCAGCGCTCACAGCAGCAGTCTGCATCACCCAGCACAGAGCAGCATGTCTTAAGGCAAGCAGGGGATGCTTTGTTTTATGCAGAACCGGTACCCAGTGATCATCAGAGCCTGGGATTCTCCTCTGCTGCATCCACACGAACACACCGGTCACACTGGAGAGCAGGGCTCCGGGCCGGTCTCACTCTAATGCAGACATGCCCTCTTACACCCCACAGTGCCAGATGAAAGCCCCAGCTATACTAATGAGCGCATCCCCAGTGTGCTGACATCACTCCTCTCTGCACAATAGACTTCCAGCCCTGCTACAAAGACATGAAGATCTGGAGCTCAGAGCATGTGTTCAGGTAACTGTACATCTTTATTTCCTTGTAACTCTATCGTCAGCACTGTGTGGAAGAGAAATGTGTGCACCTGTCACATCTTATTGTACTGTCAGCCATTCTATACAGAGCTGCTCAATAGCCGGTCAGTGAGGCTCTTCTTGGAGGGTCACAATTGCTGGGAATTTCATTTAGAAAAAAAGCTCAATTCTGAGCTCTTCTTCATTAGGTCATCCAGTAATTTTCCATCACTTCTTCCCTTGGGAGATAAAAAAATTCAGATGAACTGTTTACATTTCTTGAAAGGGAAGTATAGCTGTTTAGTAACAATTTGTGTTAGATTGTAAGAACGTATGATGTCCGTATGTTGAACGTATGTGTGAAAAATTCAATGATTGTATATATTGGTATCCTTTTATGTAAGGCCTTGTACTGTCCAAACATTCTGGCAGTGTTCAAGCATTTTGCCCACTCCAAGCCAACTTTCAATTGCAAAAACAATGAACAGTGCCAATCGGAACTGTTGGTAGGATATTTTGTTCCATTTGGTCAATTTTGGTAGTATTGTGGGAATGAATCCTGCTCTTTCATGCCTTTTTAATGAAGTATATCTGTAATGGTGGCATTTAAAGGAGAACTATGGGGTTAGGGCTTTTCCCCATAGTTCTCCTAAGGGTAACGGGAGGACACAAACTAATGTCCTCCCGTCACCCTAAGCTCAGTATACCGCGAGCTACATCTCACGGTATACTGAGACGCCGCAGCCGGGACGGATCCGACATTACTGTCGAGATCCACCCAGCTGCTGGATTGACAGCTGGCTCTGCCTATCTAGAGGCAGAGCCAGCTGTGCCCGCCCCCTCCCCGTCCGCTCCGCCAGTCAGCGCTGGAGGATCGGACAGGGGAGGGGGGGAAATCCCTGCAGGGAGCCGTGAGTGACTGTCACAGCTCTCTGCAGGGATAGATCGAGAAGTGAGCAAGCGACGCTATGTGTTCGCTCACTTCCCAATTTATTGAGAAGACGTGCTACAGTTTCATTGTCACAGGTCGGCTAGAACTATGAGGCTGAGTGATTTTCACTTGCCTCATAGTTTTCCTTTTAAAGGAGAACTATGGGGTTAAGGCTTTTCCCCATAGTTCTCCTTAGGGTAACGGGAGGACACAAACTAGCGTCCTCCCGTCACCCTAGGCTCAGTATACCGCGAGCTGTAGCTAGAGGCAGAGCCAGCTGTACCCGCCCCCTCCCCGTCCGTTCCGCCAGTCAGCTCTGGAGGATCGGAGCGGGGAATCCAGCCCCTCCCCATCACGGCAGAGAGCCGTGACAGGATCGAGAGGTGAGCGAACGCCAGCATGTGTTCCCTCACCTCCCGATCTACTGAGCCGACCTGTGACAGTCTCATTGTCACAGGTCGGCGAGAACTATGAGGTGAGTGAAAAGCACACACCTCATAGTTCTCCTTTAAGGAAACCGATTTGTGCTATTTCCTTCTAAAAATGCTAGTCTCATGCCTGTCTCTGGCTTATATAAACTCACTGGCCACTTTTTCTCTGTCGGATGCAGACCGCATAGGTACTCCTAGTGGTGCTGGTGCTCAGTATGAGTCAGAGTGGTGTGTGCTCTGACAGCCTTCACTGAGCGCCGGAACGAAAGATTAGTCAAATCTGCACAAGCCAAAGGTACAGACCATACAGACCAA